TTTTTAAAAAAAAAAAAAAAAAAAAAAAATTAAAACATACACAAACCACAAACACATTATTTTACCAATAAATTAATAACTCAACGAAAAGAAAACGTGACTTTACCGACACTCGTTTGATAAAGTAACCGAAGATAAGAACAAGCTTTTCTACGAAGGGAGAGTAAATGGTCAACGTGCACTAGGATGATCCAGTGGAAATAAAACGGCAGACACCGAGGCGCATGGTGTACTTATGTTGGAATCATGGTATTCGATCGTATCCACGGAGAAAGCGAGGTCTCTCTCACTCATTCTGTCTCTGTTTCTCGGTCTAACGATGCTCAGCTTATTCTTACTTGAGCGTCTGCTTTGGCCGCCACTAAGCATGCCGTCTGCGAATCTGAATGGGGCCGTCATGCTTGCGTGGACGCTTCCATTGTTTCTCAGGGGCTTTCATTTCGCCGACCGGTCCTCCTTCGAGCATCACAAAGCCATTGTTGCCCGGGACTTCTTAGATTTCATTCTGATTAAGCCGCGCGGCGTCCCCCCACCGTGCACACTGGCCCACTTTTTCAATTACACCCTGGCCGCAGGTTTAATCTGCAACAAAAACAAATACACACGTCCTGGAACAATTATGTAACACAATAACCTACATGAACATCCTCTAACCGGCAAGAAAGGAAAATTCCCCAAAAATAAATAACTGAATATTTCATTAATCTCTAATCGAATAAGAAATAGTGTACGATATTTCTCGTGAAATAAACGAGGTGAGCTACGAGGCAGGGAATTCCAACACAGCCATGCTTCTCCTCCGAGCCGCTTCCGGCCGCCCACTAAGGCATATTAATTGCTGACGTCCGCTAATGGTATGCCCGCGTAATGCGCCGCGAAATTTATATCGATCATAAATTAGTCAGAAAGTCGCTTGGTAGCTGGCCAATAACTCTCGATAACGCTGAAATTTCGTAGAGACAGTAAAGTCCCCCCCGGTACGACAGATGGTAAGCAACAAACTGACAGACGACTGCAAAACCAGCCAGCATAGACGATAACATAGAATCACACCGGTTGCAAAGGGATTCATAGTACCGATCGAACGACTGTTACGCGTGATCATAAATCTCAGGAATCGAACGTTGCGTATCGGTGTGTTGCTAGTTAGAACCAGTATCATCTAGATTGACACACACGGGTTCGTTAGCAGAAAGCCAGCGGCGGCCAGGCTGTGGTGGTTTGACGCTCGATGCGACGCTCGATTACTCGAATCGACTTTGCCAGAAGCAGCAGCAGCAGCACACGGGGGTCCTCATTGTCGACGTCGTCGTGTATATCGTGGCTGCTACGTGTCACTCGACTCCCCCGAGTGAGCTTTCGAGTGCATCGACCGCGGCAAATTCGCTTATACACGTACTTGCCATGAGAGAATCTGCGGACGCGACGAAAAATCCGTACGGTTCCTCGCCAACCACCCGGTCCGACCAATCGCTGCGCCGCACACTGGCTCGTTGAAAAATTAAACGCGAGAGAGCACACTGTACCACTCTCTGTCCATTTCCCTGTACTTCATCTGTATCTTGTCTTCCCTCTGTCTCACTCTCTCTCTCTCCCCCTTTGTCCTTTTCCCCGGTCGTCTCGTCCTTTTGTTTATTCTATCCCCACTCCCTGTCAAGAAGGGAGAAAGACGAATCGTCGTTGTGATTGTCGTCGTTGTGACAGCTTCTCAGTGAGATGTACGTTGAACTATGTATACAAGCGCACTGAATCAAACCGAAGCACCAAACAGGATCGTAGTTCACTGCGTAACACGACAGATCACGCGATCACATAGAAGACACATCGACAAACTAATGTCGTTGCACGGGAAGGGAGGGCAGGGGTAGTAGAAGCGTATAGTACGGTCGGTCGATTATCCAGCGAGAACGAAGCCCGCAGAAAAACGAAGCAGAAACGGACTGACAGACGGCACGATGCACTTGTCAGCTTCCTCTCCACGCGTAGTCTCGCGGCGCGTGAACGTGTGTTCACCCGTTCTCACGAGAGGACACCCCCCACCTGAGCCGCGGGGTCGTCGACTGGCATCGACGAGCTCTTTTCTATTATCCTCTCGGCCGATCAATCAATCCGGTCGCGCGAGACCCTTCGCGATAAGAACCGGGGCCTTCTCCTCATCAGTCCATCGTCGTTTTCCTCCGGCTAGAGTCGAATCCCGTCGAGAACGACGAAGCACGAGTAAGAGAATGGATGCTGCGACCGCGCCGCTCCATCGAAGATCTTCATCCCCCGGAGCTCTGTGGCCAAGTTCTCTCGCGTACGACACGCCACGAGCCACTAGTACGATATCATACGCACGAGATTCGGAATACAGGAACACCGTTTTCAATTGCACTGTATGAGAGGATGATTCACTACGGGAGAGAGAGAGAGAGAGCACGTTTTCTTCCGGGCAGCACGCTTCCGGATTGTCAATTCGTCGCAATAGTGCCACGCACACGCCACACGAAACCTGCAGATTTGCCGCAGAGGCCAGCGACACGATGCCTCCGTATCCCCGTGTCTGTTCCTCTCGCTTCCCCCTCCCTATACTATCGTTCCGTCCCTTCACCCCCCACCATCATCATGGTGGTGGTCGTTTCACCGCCCTCTCGCTTACTCGTTACCCATAGCTATCCCTTTTCGGCTCCCTTGCCGCATAGCCGTCCGCGGGCAGCACCGTCGAATTCTGGTTCAATGAAACCCACCACCTCCCCTCCACAGGCTTGCCACCCACGGCCAACCTTTCGACCCCTCGAGATCGTGCTCGAGGAAACCCCTGTGACTCTGGCGACGGTTCGATCAGTATTACGGCATTTCTGCCTGTCGTGTGCTACCCTGAAGGAAACATGGCGAGAATAGGTTCGCCTCTACGGATTCTGCGTGGCCATAACCTAAAATTCGGAACATGTGGAATAAAATTAATTCGAAATGCAGTAGTGATGGCACGATTTTGAGCTACGGGGATGATGACTCTGTAGATACTAGTCCTTTTACGCGTATGGTAGATTTCTGACTTATCGACCAATGTATGAGATGAAAGTACCAATTCGGAGGCTGGATACCGCGTCTCGTGTCGCTGCATGCGAGGTTTGTACAGGGGATGAGCGTCATGGCCGTTATGGTGAAACGCGCGTGGGGCAAGGGGATGTAGGACAGATCGATAGGATTACTCACGTGGTCGCACGTGTGCACATGGAAGATAGGGTTTCGATGTCGCCATTTCCGTCTACGTTTTTAGCATTTTATTACAAGAATATAGTATAAACTTTCGCTCGATAGTGTGTGTATATGTATAGTATGTATGCATGTATGTCGATATGTAGTCGTATATATATGCAGGTGGTAGTGGTAGTGGTGGTGGTGGTGGTGGTGTGAGTGGGCGTGTACGCGTGACACTTTGTTCACGCTTGAATCTTCAGTTTCTTCATCTTCTTCGTCTTCTTCATTTTTTTTTATACATATAGAATCTTGCATCTTTTGTTTCTATAGTCCCCGTCCCTAACCCTATCGTCTTATGATCATCACCAACGACCTCGACGCAGGCCACGATAGTCATAGCTTTTTTTCGATAGTTGATCGATATACGTATAATAATATATCTTGTGTTAATCTTACGTTTTTTTTTACCTTATCTCCGCTAAATTGTAATCTATATATAGGTATATCTTCTGTACGTGTCTCTCAGTGTACCTGTACGTGTGTTGTCTGTGTCTCTGTCTTGTGTGTTTCTTTTTTACTGTTTTTTGTTTTGTTCTCGTTACTGGAAACATACTTGGCAATTCACGTCTAATAGTACAACGAAGCATTTTTCTTGGTTTTTTTTTTCTTTCGCTCTCTTTCTCTCTAGTCATTCTGGCCTTTCTCTCTCTCTCTTTTTTTTCTGTCCACACGCTCGGTCTCTCGCTCTCGCTCGTTCTCTCTTCCTTTCGTTCTCTCTTTCTCACTCTCTTCCTTTCAACGACGCGCGCCACGATGGCCTGCTCGATCGGATCGACACGATGACCACTGGTCGCGCTCATTAATTGATATGTCAGTGGGTTTTTATCCTCTTAACAGCATAGCTCCAGCTCGTCCTAGGGAAAGCGTAGTTTGCCGCTGGCCGCCCCCATAACACGCCATGGGGTTATTTCCAGCTGTTTGCTGCAATAATAAACACGAGTATAATTTTAATATTCTCTATAGGAAACACTTTCGTTGCTTCAGTATCATTTCTAGGTTAAGTTCATTGAAATACAAAAGCCCGAAAGTCAGTGAATTCAGAAAAATGTGAAATATTATATGAGGTAACTTAACCCCTTCGTTAAAGCAAATGGATGTTGTGTGTTTTAATTAAGTTTAAATTGTGGAAATTAGAGTAATAGGCACATTTTTTGTGTTCTTGAGAAAAGTGATGCCAAATTGGTTAACTGACAATTGAGGTTACTAATACGGGCCATGTTTTCTGACACTTTATCAATTAAGGTTAATTCAGTCAGTTTTATGTGAACTGGTAGTATCGTCAACAGAGTTCGACATTGTTTAATTAAATACTTTACTTTTCAACTTGTAGCTTATTGAATGAAAACAGCTACATCTGTATAATTGATGCATTATTATATTAATTTCATTTAGGTTTCACCATTACATCTTGCCATTGTGCCAATATTATTCTACTTTTACCATGTATACTTTTCGCAAACCGGTCTTATCAATAACCGGCAACAGAACACAGCTGCCCAACTCCGGTGGACATTTTTGCCACAGGAAAACAGAGAGAGAGTCACGGAAAATTAGTCGACGGTTCGAGCTTTATATTCGAACGAACTTTTCCCATTTCACCTGGCAGCAAGGCGGGCAACAGCTTTTCATACCTTTGTAGTATATGTCCCTATTCATCGTTGGACAGTTCTTCGGTCCCTAAAGAGCAAAAAGTTTCCAGACAATTATACCAGGTTATCGCGTACCGCGTTCAAAGCTCGTGTATGAACACACACGGCACACATACACGCATCAGTAATCACGCACGTACTAACCTGAACGTTAAAGTCGATGTTCGTTCGAACGGGACGATGATGAAGCGGCTGTGGCGGTCTGAAATTATTCCCAAGCGGCGCGTTCGGGTTCACCTTGTCCCCTTGCATCAATAGTCGCAGCGCGAGAAGCTGCAACACGACACCAGTGAATCGAGTGAATATCACGCTTCCTCCATATTTGTTTTATCTCGCGCGGCGCGTCTTTGCCTTCTTCCTGCTTTTTCACTCGTGGGCTGGATTAATGGGATGAAAGCTGGGAGCTTCTAAAGAGGATTGTGCACGCTCTATGGAGATTGATTTCTTTCACTTCTGTCGATGTAGAATATTTTTTTTTTATTCGTTTTTCTTTCTTTTTTTTAATATCGGAGGGTGACGAATTACAATGAGTTCTTTGTTTTATGTTCGTATTCTGCTTGTTTATTCTTGGTGGATTAATTGTGTGCAATGGAGACTGTGCAAGGTTTGTAAAGGTCGATTTCTTTGAGTATTGGTGGTTCTCTAATAAATTGGTGCTTCTCCGTGAGGCATTGGAGAGGTTAAAATTGGGTAAGCATGACGCTTTTGTTATCTTTACGTTCTGGTGTATTAATGAAATCTATAATGGGAAGTATTTGAAATACCATCTTTGTCAATATGATTTTTAATATATTTGTATTTTTTTTTCTTTGTGTTAATTATTGTACACTATAAAATTGCACCAGAATTCTTTTAATATTTTTCACAGTATAAACACTGAAACTTCCAAGGAAATTAATAAATTCAATTTTGAATAAAAAATTAATTTCTTTCACTATTGAAGCATTTCTCTGTTGAATGAAAATTACAGCCTTTGGTTTCTCAGATCCCATTAGGCAAACTGAGCGTTAAAATCGAGGAAACATGGCGCCTGAGTTAACAGCCTAAGAGTCAAAGTCCCTAATAGATTACGCTATATAGTGTTTCCTAAACGCGGAGTGCCAGCAAATTTTATTACTTTCGTATAAATAATCGAGATATGAGAACGGGGTAAATACGACACCTTGTTCTTTATCATCTTCGAGCCCTACAATGGCTTAATGGCTCAAAATGGTTGTCTGTGAGCTAACAGGTAGAACAGCATTACCTACTACAGATATTGATTTATCGGTTCATCAATTTTGAGAAAGTACAACGAATCCCTGTCCTTGTCGCCTTTGCATTCTGCTCTTTCCAAATCGACCTTTTGCTCGTATATAACAGCCTAATAGCTTGAAAGTTAAGATATTCACTGGCTGAGCCAGAATGTCTGTTATAGACATCGTCTCCTTGACTTTTGATAGGAATAGTTCGTAAGAACGCCCTTCTTGTCGCCGGCAGATAGTAAAAGTTCAATTCAGCTGAATGGCCACGTAGGGGAATCAACGAAAAATTCGTGTCACGTGATGAAATAACGAAGTTCATCCTGAATCTTAATTAACCCTTTTGTTCATGCTACATGCTTCTATACTGGTTCTCCTTACCTCAAAGTGTCCTATCTAACAATTTTTTATATTTTCATTTGGAACTCTATATGTTTTTCAATTTTTTGTAGTTGGTAGTAGGATTCCCGAATATTTCAAATGTTATGAAACTACTGCCTCCTGCAAACATTCGTCTTCTGAATTATTAAGTATAGCTGAATTCTTAATGATACACTCCTTCTGTCGATTCAACTCTAACTTTCATACATACAAAATTCTGGGAAAAATTAGAGAGATGGAGGAAATGGAAAAAAGTAAGAAAATTCAAAAAAATATATTATTAGAATTAATCCTCAATATTAACATTCTTACAGGATTAGAGAAATAACAAAATTCTGAAATCTAAAAAAAATAAAGAAGAACCAGAAATCCATAATCTATAATTATCAGAATGAATCTCATGTAAGATAAAAGAAAATTGTAATAATGCAGAAAAATACCCCGAGAAAAAAAGAAAAGAATGTCAACAAGAGTGTCTAACGCGATGCTCACAGGATTTTACGGAAATCAGCTTGAAAAGCGTACTCGTGGCTAATAATTGGCGAGATGACATCACGGGACGCTCTTTTTGCTTTAATGGAGGCTCACGAGGCCGGGATAAGCTTTAGAATATTCGATAGTACCGGCGTGCAGCGGTGGTTTCCACGTTGGATTTTTTTCGGGGTAACGAGCAACACATTGCGTGTACGTGTTGGTTATGTGTGTGTTGGTTATTTTGCATCCCTTTGATGTCGTCCCACGGCTAACTTGCCCCGAAAAATACTAGCCGCGGAATCTCGACGCTCCGCTTTAGCAAGTATAATTCTTCGTGCGCCACCACACCGACCCTATGTCCCCGATAAATTTATTAAAATGCATCGCGCCACCCGTTATATACGTAAATCATCCCGCGAAAGTGCCTGTTAAATCATCGATCAACCAACCTGCTCTAACCCTCGATACCAAACCCCGAATAAATTAGTTTCCCTACTGGAACTGTCGACATCGAGTTCTCGATCATCGAACTTTCGTTCGCTTTTTTTTTTTTAAGTCTGCATTGTTTTCAGAGTTTTCATTGCATCCATTTATTTTTTTTGCTTTGAAATTGGAATTGTTGAGATTGAGAGTGTAATTTGGGTGATTAGGGGCAAATTGATTGTTGATTTTGTGAATTTTTAGTTCGATAAAAATTGCGAATTTTTATTCGTGTTTTTTTTTTGAGGTTATGCAATTGGTTGAGTTTTCATTGCGTCCTTTTTTATTTTATTTTTTCTAACGTTTAAATTGGAATTGTTGAGATTGAGAGCGTAGTTGGGATGATTAGGAGAAAATTGACTATTAGTTTTATGAATTTGTATAAATTTTTACATCGGTGAAAATTGAAATTTTTTTCTGCTGCCAGTCCTCTTATGCTAAATAGACAAAACACTACAAAGCATACAACACAAAGGAAAGATTAATAATTCCCAGGGACAGAAAATTCTCTCATGTATCACGATTGATACTTCATCCGTTCGTTTCGAATCGTTCCATTTCGTCTGACAAAGCTTCCGCCGGAAGTCAATACACTCAGCGTCCATTATCCACGTCTGAGACGTTGTTTGCGCTGGTGTTTTTTTTTCTCACCGAAAGCGCTTCGTATCGCTTCATATCGACGGCGAACGAATTTCTCGTGGATAATACGCGGCGCATCGATTCCCGATTCCGCAGTCGGCTAATATTAAAATACGAAGCGAACTGCAAACACGAGACGAACGTGAAACGGCATCCGTTTCCCGCTTCTTTCTTTCTTTCCTTTTTTTCTCTTTCCGACTTTCGAGAGACACGCGGCGGGAATCACGCGCCGCGTAAACGATCCATTTGGCTGATTGATCCACCGCCAGATATCCATTATGCTCGCGAAATGAAAACGCCTATACGTCGTTGGGAACGTTTTGTAAAATTGTGCGCGAGATATGGGAAAATGGCCGCCCGCAGAGCGGCAAATGGCGCACGAGCACACGGCATCTCAAGATCTATAGAAAAGCAAGTTGATAAAAATCACGCGATGTAGACGAATCGATAAGATTTTGCGATTTACAAAGTCATAAATCATGGTCTTCAGACGAATATATGTGTTTGTTAAAGTTGTTTCCAACCATATTCGGACACTTTATGTACAAGCTTGCTTTTAATCATCTTATTTCAAACAGTAAATAATTCATGTTTATTCATCAAAATTTTCTTTATAATTGTATTAATAAATAAAATATTCAATTCAGCGTGAACGGCTTTTAAATACGCCCCAGGGTATAATAACAAACATGGTGTACCACGAGGAGCAGCGACCTAACCCAATACCCACCAACACGATCGAGTCAAAGGAGAAAAAGCAGCGCCGCCTATAACGGTGTCCATTAAAGATCGTTCGCCTGACTCCGTTAATCGACGCTACGTGAAACTCGATCTTTATTTCATTAGTCGTCGATGTAATTTGCCAAACCGTGAACAAAATAGTGGTAAGAAAGCAGAAGAAAAAAAGAACACATTAAGACATCAAAGCGTGATCTTGAAACGATAAGGAAGCCACGTAAACCAATTTTCCCGAGGTTCTGTGCGTGCCACGTGCTCGCGAGATTACCGTGCGCCGGTAGCCACGCGAAATCGTTAAAAGAACATCAGAAACTACTTTCGTGCGTGAGTTACCGCGATTCTTCAAGTCGTCCCGGGCACGGATACGACCCTCGTCACTGCCTACAACGGAAACGAAATAAAGTTCTAGATCCCGAGACGATTACACTGGGCGAGTCTTTCAATTGTAGCGAAACGGAAAGAAAAAAGAAAACGAGAAAATACGATAACCTTATACAACATTTTTCCTTTCTTGGAAAATAGATTTTTCTCGATGTAGATACGATTATTTCTATGTACCGTATCTTCCAATCACGTGAATTACTTGAATTCAGAGTACTCTTTCTCGATTGGTTAGAAATGGTAATTATTTCGAAAAGAAATCTATTTCCCGTAAATATTTAAATGAACACTTCACATCCGCCCACACAGAACGCCCCCTCGAGCTATTTCTTTAATTCGAACACCAACCTAACCTCATTCGAGGCTGGCCGAACGGCGGCCACCAATCAAGCGTTCCCACCACTTCACGGTTATCGTAAGATCCACGAGCACCTCTATTCACCACTCAATACCCCCTCGACAATCACACTAGAGAACCTCCTTCGGCCAACTCAAAGCCAGCCATCGAACAGTCGCAAACAACCGCTTATTCCTAGTCATAGAGAACAGAGATCAGCAGAAACTACACCAGCCACCGACGGATAGTGCAAAGTTGATTGGATCAAGGTAATTTCGCGTAAGAGCTAGAGAATGCTGATCGATATTCTGGCGGCATCTGCCAGATATTAACCTTTTACACTCCACTGGCGCCAGCTACAGTGACACGTGCAATCTACGAAACAATCTGCATTATGTCTCGTAAGATCTAACATTGTGTAAGCAGATTTTTCTCTGCTACTGAGAGAAAATGTGCTTGATTATAGATTCTTATTTTGTTTGGAAGAAACAGGAATTGATAATTGTAATAACAGTGCAGTGATATGTGAACGGAATAAGAATTATAGAATACGGACACATGGGAACATAACCTTAAAGACACATGGCGTTGTAAAAGGTTAAAAGTCAAGCTTCATTTATCCCAACGAAATAAAGTTGTGCAGCTTTGCTTGTGAAACGATACTTTGAATATTCAATATTAACAAAGCAATACTGGAATTATTACCAGTCGATTATATTGAACACATTCACTTTGCGTTACAAGAAAAACAAAATTTTCCTAAGAAAATCGTGAAATATTTAAAAAATTGTAATCCGAAACGTTCTAAACAATTAACAAAGTGTAGATTGTAATACTTTAGGTACTGATTGTACCAACGACGAGTCACTATGTTTAATGAAAAACCACCCAAAGCGAATGTATCGAAAAATTTGTGAAAGTGCAACGGGCAAGTGATCGACTATCGATAATCGTGAGACGAATTCTCTCTCACCTGCTGCTTCGTGATGTATATGGGCTTGTTCAGGATGATCCACGTGGTAGTCTCGTGGCAGGCCGGCATCGTTGTGGAGCCATCGTACGTCATGTAATATTTCGTGTCCGGCAGCAGTTCCCGCACCACGAAACGATTAATCTCCATCGCCTGGCCTGCGTGCAATCGGTTCGATCGATAACGCGACGATCCGACAGCCACCGTGACGCGCATACGTACCCCAATTAGCATCGACGTTCCTCTACACGCGCCACCGACGCCTGATATTACACTTTATACTTCGTGCTTTGTGCACGTTAACGGCCGAGAGAAAAGCTCGAAGAAGCTCGAGGCGTATACCCTCGATCGATGCGCCTCGAGATTACGATTGATCCAGAGGGCGCCTCGAGATTACGATTTATCCAGAGGGCGCCTCGAGCGAGTTCACTTCGATCGACGAGGAAACTCGTTTCATGACGACTTTTTCGGGGACACGTTTGCCTGTCATTTTGAGATTACGTGTGAAAGTGTACTTTGGAAAATTTCAAGAATGTTATTCAGGTTTGTTGCGCTTCGATACATTGAGAATGTAACTGAGAATTATTTGATGTTGGTTTTCTTAATGTGATTTTAAGGAATATAATTGAAATCAGTTGTGCCGGTAGTTTACCTTCGATTTTGTCAATTTTGACGATTTGGCGCGATATAATTGAAGATAGTTTAACTAACGTTGCTTCGAAATCAAAGAGTCTTTCCTTTAATTTCATAAATAATAATGATGATAAATTTTCGAAGAAAAACAAGCTTCGATCTTTATCATTTTAACGACGATTTCGTAGTTACTTCTGACAAAGTTTTACGTAGTCAATGTTGACGTTAGGTTTACTTTCCATACTGACCAATAACTGCCACATTATTGTAGCCCAGTTTACCGTGAACTTTTTAATGAGAACAACTATAACATTACTCAAATATTGGAACGTTATTTATCTTATACCTAATTAATATTATGTGCATAAACATTGATCATTTAAAAGTTGAAGCATCTTCTCTCCTCAGTGTACCGAATTTTTCCCGCTGAGGAACGAGCCAATTATGCAAATGGCGTTCCGTATCGAAAAGTTTGTCCAAACAATCGATGAAAAATTCGCTTTTGAGGTCGACGCGGATCGCTGACCCCGGTCTGATTCCATTTACAGCGGGCAATATCATTCTCTAATTAGCTGATGTGCCCCCGAAAAGAGAGTCCTCGTCCATCTTCCTATTTCCATTTCGCGTTGCCGTGTCTGTTTTCTTTTGACGTGCATCGCTCGAAAAAAGGAGCCCTCCTCTCGGCAATCGGGTACCAATTACTCGCAATTAATTCCCCCCTCCTTCGTGAGAACGACAACTTAAAACGAGAGGAACGATTTCAATTAAAAACGCAACTCCAAAGTGGAATTTAATATCTGAAATCCGTTTTCCTCATTAACGTTCAATTTCATTTGCTCAAAGGCTTCTTCCTTTTCTTTTTTTCATTTTTTATTTTTATTTACTTTTTGAACAGAATATTTAGTTTAGATTAAAGCAGATCGTGCAGAAATAAATTCTGTTTATTCGTGTATGTGTACGTATGTGTGTGTGTGTGTGCGTGCGTGTGCAGTTGTATAGAATACTCATAAGAGTTTCTGGAGACGAGAATAAAGATCTAACAAAGAAGGAAGGTCAGAGCAGAGTTTCTATTTTCTGGAGCTAGTCGCTATAAATAAATGAAGACTCTTGTGGATCGAATGGAGGAGCTAATCCTCGACTGATAGTGTAAGATTAAAATAGATCCTAGTGAGGTATTTTTTCTTTTCTTTTCTTTTCTTTCTTTTTTTTTTTTTTTTTTTTGAATATCGTACGATGATGTGGTCGTTGGATTTTAATTTTCCCTCTTTTCTTTGCTCCTACTCTCTCGTTGAGGGAATAATTAAAAAAGTTAATTTATTTTTTATGAGCGTTTCTTTTTATAGGTTAATATTAATTATAAATTTAAGTGTAGCTAGGTGAGTGATAGTATTTAGTCTGAGCCAGTCGAGGATTAGGTTTGATTAAAGCAACACGCAGGGTGCTCCTGAAATGGTTCCGTCGAGAGTTTTTAGTACTAAATTGACATGCACAGTAAGAATCGTTTAATACTGTTGGATTTAAATAAGAAATGTTTTTGAAAGAGTTATTCTCCAAAGAAGGAACTAAAACCGATTTAAGGTGTATGTAATTTGTGAAAACCAAATTTTCGCACCGAGTTTCCCCTCTTTATATCACATACTTCACGACTGAATTCTCCTTTAAAATATCCACAGAATATTCAAACCGAGTGAAACCAAATTATCACACTCAGTTTCCCCTTTCAGTATCACATACTCCGTGAATGAATTCTCCTTTTAAAAAAATCAATGTATGCAAACGTAGTAGAACCAAATTGTCACACCCAATTTCCCCTCTGAATATCGCACACGTCATGACTGAATTCTCCTTGAAGATATTTCCGAAGCAACCGGATCAAATAAATTTGACAAATTAAACAAACTGAAGAGGGAACATTTATCGAGGTTCCCTTCATTTAGTCAATCAGAAAAGTATCAGTTAATTAAGGAACTGCAGAGAAGTGCATCAAGCGTATCGAGAGGTACGATCGAACACATTTCAGGCGCGGTGGGTGTATGTATCGCGAGCTTTAGTGGATCGCGAGTAGCGTGGAAACTCGATTTCCTCGAGAAATTCGAGTCCGGTTAGGTGTATTAAATTACTGGTGATCTTACCTCCATATTTGATCTTATCCAGCTGTTCGGTGAATATTCGTAGCTCCGGGTTCGAGAGATCTCCAACCTGAAAGGCAACCAGCAGAGTGGAGGTTGGTATGTATCTATCGCGTATCGCTTACACCGATCGTTTCATCCGTGAGCTTTCTCATGGTGGGAAGAAACAGAGAGAGAGAGAGAGAGAGAGAGTACAGAACGTTGGTAGGTGAAAGAGAGAGATTAGGCATGTACCTGGAGGAGAAGGGACACCGCGACGATCCCCTGCGCCCGGTGCAACGCGTCCGAGAAATTGTTGTACAGCTGCGAGTTGAAGCCGAATATCTGCAACTGTTTCGAACAGAGAAACAGAAAATTGGATTATTTATATATTGATGTCAGTGGTTATTTCGAGTTGTGACTAGGATGGTAAAGTTTTGAAATTGATCGAGGCGTGAGGTGTGAGTAGTGTGGAGAAGCTTTCGAGTAGTTTTGAGGTGAGTAGTGTGGTCAAACTTTGGGTATTTTGAGTTTTACCTGGAGTGATGAAGTTTCAGAATAGATCGAGCTACGAGAACTATTGCGGATTATATTGTAGTGTGAGCAATGTAGAAATGCTTTTGAGTAGTCTGTGAAAGCCTCGGAGAAAGTTTGAGGTCATCGTATGTGATCTAGATTTTGAGTAATTTGAGGCACACAGCACGATACACCGATGAGCTTTTGAGAAATTTTGAGACATAACGGGGTGGTTAATTGAGGCTTTTGAGAAATCTGGGGTGTAAACAGTGCGGTGAAACTTTTAAGTAGTTTGAGTCAAGGATAACGCAGCCTTTGAGCAACTTTGAGGTATACGTATATAGCATGACGATGCTTTCTCGTCGCTCTTTCACTTTGAAGTATAAATAACTCGATTGAAGCTTTCGAATAATTTTGAACCGTGAAATTCTTTTTTTTTTTTACTAATCTTAACCACAAAAATCTGACGAACCTTTCAAGAAATTTCAAGCATGAAAACATTTTACTAAATCATTACAGAAGATAAGTATATGTATTAACTACCTGTGTCTCGCGAGAACGTCATCAATAATTAACACACATGTAAATATTTCAAACAATCTTCGGCTAATCCTCAAAGGACCCAGTTTACCCTCTCAGAAAACACGTGGACGCGTATAAACTCCTCTCAGACTTAAACAGTTTAAACCGTGGAGACCAGTTTTAAGAGGATTTGTTCCACTTTAGTCCGGAGCGTGCCAAAACCATGTCGGCTGCTAATGAATTTCCAACGAGCGACTATTTAACTAACCCGTCGTAAAAATCGTAAACCTCGTCGGGAACAGATGGGACACATGATCGACGATCGTCGTCAGAATTGATAACGCGAATTAAACCAGAATTCACGAGGGATAAAATAGCGAACGGGCATTAACGTTTCATTGTTCGATTTTATTTTCTCCATTCCACCACCTCTTGCGATAGTTTTCGTGGACTATTTTCGAAGGAATTTCTCATTTCGAATTTCTCTGAACGGTGAACAACGTTCGAATTATTTTTTTATCCCGCCTTATAACTCAGTATTACGATGTCGTTGTATGCATTTGATAAATAAAACCAAAAGTAGAAAATAAAATGCATATTCTTTCGTTCAAAATTTAATAAAACCTTCGACAAATCTAAGATGCAAGCTGTGAGACGGTACTTTTAAGTAGTACGAATCAAGGATAAATCAGCCTAGCTTCTGAGCAAATTTATCGATAAATGATACCAAACTTCAATGGAATTTTACTAAACTGTGTTGATTTTTAAATTTAGACAATGCTACTCCTATTCTTCAACGTAATATTTTTTCAAAATCAATTTTTTGCACCGACACCCTTTTTACACCTCTTTCCTCAATTTTTCACGTTTCAGCAGTATTTTCACGCGTGGAAAGGTTCGATGTGAAAGAAAAAGAAAATGTATCGCTCTCTGAACTTTCGTAATTTTTTCAAATTCCATGTTCGAGCAACTTCTGCACGCCAGGCGTGGACTGTTAAAAGCTGTACGTTTTCACGGGTCTCCAACGTATATCGCGATTCTATACTAGTAACCCAGTTCGCTAGTTCTGACCTAGTTCGAAGATTAATACTTCGAACAAGGAACGAAAGAAGAAAAAAAAATATATGGAAAGGGGGCGGTGCTTTCACGTTAATCAGTTCCAGTTACGTGATCAAGTGAATAAAAGTCGTTCTTCTCTAATCGACGAGCAGAAGAATCTAGATAGACGTACGGATATGTATCGAAAGGTGAGATCGATAATCAGACCTCGATATGGGATAGGCATCGTGGATGAAAGCCGATCATCTTGGGTATACTAGATCTATGGATTAGCGGAGATAAGTTGATAGCACGAGGCAGTTTCGAGCAGCTTTTCAAGCTGAAGATAAATGTTTTATTTCATTTTTCGAAAATCTGCTTTTCTGGAATTTCTTTCGGTAGGTATAAATATTGTCAAATGTTTATAGAATTTTTTAACTCATCAGATGTGGTTCAAACAGTTTTCAATTTTTCATATCTACCTCAAAATTCCTCGATTCTATCGTCACATAATTCGACGAACGAGAAACAAACTTTTTCTTCGAAACTTTTAAGTTTACGATTTTTTTCTTTCGTTCTTGTTACAAGTCGGTCAATCCCAGTATGAGCTATCGAAGAACAGTAATATTTTTAATTCTTTGCTTTCAAATCACTTCGAATCACACAGTAGTGCTAACTTGAAGTATACAATTGATAGTAACATTCTCAAAAATTTCACTGAACATTTTTTTATTATAATCTAAAGATGCTCCTTTCTATCAAAAAAAATAATTGTTACGATAGCTTTACTAGTTTTAACCAAAAAAAAAAATTGTTAAAGATCGCTTCTTTTTCGGGCTATCAAACTGGATTATTCCCTGAAGCAAAGAATAAAACTTACCTCAGCAGGGAACGCGTGGCCATCCACTGTGTGCTCGCTACCGGTTCGATCGTCCAATCCAAAATGTAGATGTATCTCGTGGAATTGATATCGATAGCTGAGTGGTCCACCAGAGATGTTCACAGGATGACGCGTGTTGTTGTCGACGGCGAATACGACGCTGTGACCAGTATTTGCTAGGACACCGACAACTCTGTGCTTGTCCAGGTGCAGAGGTTGAAGGTTCGGATCGAAGAGGAGCCTCGAAGGCTCCAAATTCACCGGCGATTGTCGCCTGCCCTTGTGACACAGCCACCATTCCGGATTGATGAGACCCCAGAAGCCAGGACCTTCGAAGCGAGCCGATTAAACGACACGTCGAACGCGACTTTCGAGCATCGATTAACGCGGCCACCCTTGGGAAACGACTAACTACCCCCGTTAGAACTTTCCGCCACGCTAAGCTCGGGGATTACCGCATGGCTACTACGGGGGCTGGCGTGAAATTGTACGGGAGGGGAGGAGCGTGGGATTCTGACGAGATCGAACCATTTCACAAGGATCGTTGGATGGTTCTATTTTTTTATAGAAAAGATGACTGTTCGAAGAGGGAGAGTGTGCGGTATTCGACGAAATAGGACGAATTTCGGGCATGTTTTCATGTAAAGATTGTTTTTGGAGTTTTAAAAATTTTTCAAACTTCTCGAATGAAATCGAACGATTTTTGGGACTGTCTGATGCCTCGATGGTCATGTTTCCACGTGAGTCTGATTCGCAAAAAGTAGCAAAGAGATTAAGCTATCGTTTCCAACGAAATCACATTCACAGGACTCTGATTTGAAACGATTGAAGAAAATTCGAATGATTTGTAATTTTGTACAGGGTGGTTCGTATTATTGGAAGAATTCTTAAAGTTTAAGATTGTATCAATTATATATTTGTACTGGGATTTGTTTTGCAATATTAAATGAATTTTTCGAAATTTTTCTTTCGAGTGAAGAAATAGCCTTACATGACGTACACAGAAATTCTGGTCAAGAGTCGTGGCATGAAAACCCGCCCATCGAGCCATCCAATAATCTTGCAATCCGTTCCATTTCTTGAAATCGTAAATTCTTCCCCCGTATCATCCTAAATATTTCATATCTTTATATAGAAAAACTAGGATACTTCGAAGTTCCTTCAGGTGTGTAAAAATAGTGTACACATAGAAACACACCCAGTGGGATATCTAATAGACTCCAAGCTATTCGATTACATCGTATCATAAATTGTTCTGCCACTCCCTAATCACTTTCAGTGTCACATCTTCTCTACAAAACAGCAGAATGCTTTCAACTTCCGCTCTAACGCCAAAAAGTAATCTTTAGACAACATTCCTATACTTTTATAGAAACAGTTTAAATACAACAGTTCGTAGTGTTTTGCGAACGTGCTATATGCGAGAGAATCGTCTTCGAAAGGGTTAAGGATATGCGCAACAAGATCGTTCTTCCGATGGATATTAACGTGGTACCGGAATGGCTGGGTGTTTTCGGTCAATCGATATGTGCATGGGATTCCTTACCGGAAATACCGTCATAGGTCCACCATTCGTCCCAGCTGACGGGCCTAGATTCTGCAAATAGTTCATTATCAAGAATCCACGCTATGTCACTTATGCGACAGCAGTCCTTAACCTAGAACTAGTTGCGGCGAGTCGAGTGGCAAGGATATTCGGCCACACTTCACCGAATAACGAGCCACTCGTCTCAATTATACACTTTCTTGCTATAGTCCGCCCGAGGAGTCAATTGGCCGCTCAAGGTCACTTCACAACCGGCGACGTTCCCGGACGTCTTTTATTCTTTTTCTTTTTTTTCTTCTCCCTCATTCGCGACACCAGGTGTGCTTCGACCGTTCTCAGACACGTTTTTAAGAAAACGTGCGTCTGGCGAGCCACCACTCGTCTTTAACTCTTTAACAATGCATACCAAAGTAAAACGAGAGATTCTGAAATATTCTTCGTGCACGATGTTTTAATGCGAATGATTTTCTTCCGAATGATTTAACGGGAATTAAAGTGAACGTTGCCTTTCTTTCAGTGACTACGAGTGGCCAATTAATTTCGAACGAACTCTAGTCGAGAGGATCCACGTTCGGGGGATCGTTCGTTCCAACGGGTGGGCCAATTGTCACCCAGCAGATTTTGTCGTTTCATTAGTTGTTCTGTGAATCGATACTTTTCACGGTGTATACGTTACAATATTTTATTAAATCGAATTTTTGGCTATATCGTCGTCTGTTAAAAGCAACTTTCATCGTCAGAGTAAATTAATTGTAAAATTGATGTACGACACTGAGAACAATCGTAGTGCGTTCGAAGAGGATCTTTCAAGAAAAATCATGTCAAATTTCACGGAATAAACAAGGAAGGCAGTTACTACCTAAATGGAAAACCTTTGCAAACTGAACTCCACTAAAACAAGTGATCGAATATTTTACATTGGTCCACCCTATGAATTTCACATTCCGCGAGAACGACTGATTCAAGAGCCAAGGTTAAGTACTACTGAAACCAACTGTTAGGTCGTGTGATATGAAATGTCTGAATGAAAGTCGTTCTCTGAAATCAAACGAACATTTTACTCGTCAAAATAGGCATCTCTCTCAAACAAGTCTTGGTTTTTCGAATACACAATACCTCAACCACATTATGAAATGTTTTACTTTATATATAGGATGCATAACTTTTCAATAAATCTTCAAACGATCTATATTTATATAACATTCTCTTCTTGTTTATACTCGTAGAATGTAGGGACAAAATTTTGTCGGCAAAAATTGGAACACCCTGCATATTAGACAATCGTGCTCGTCTTGATTGGCAGCTAATACGAATAGTTACATTCCTCAACAATAACCCATCAAGGATTCTCTAAACTTGAAATGAGCACGAAAAACTTGAAACTTTTCAATACTCAACTAATCACTTGTTGAAATCCGACATTTTATATCACACAACCTAATACACGTAACCGTTACACCGTGTATACCTTGTATCAGGACGATGACGAACACTCCCCAGACACCTAGGAAGACGGAACTGAATGGGGCCATTCCTAGCGTTGCGCGGTCTTCGTCAATTGGACATCATTCGCCTCGATTCTACGTTTGGAGAACAGACAAGAAAAAAAGGCCACCCTTCAATCTTCTTCGATCACGTGTGTATAATACAGCACTCTCTTGCCACGTGGTCACACACAAAAGAACCAAAGAAAAAAAGTGTAAGAAAAGAAAGACATCTATCTCCTTGGGAAAAAAAATTCCTCTAAATCGTTCCAAACATCCACCAATCGACCCTGCACCGTTCAATTCATCAAATGAAGTAGAAGGAAAAACAGACGTGACTCAAGGAATCAACGAACTTTCCAAAAAAAAAAGCAATGTGAAACGATAACGAAGCGACCACGATCGATCCACGAACACCACAGGAATGTCTCAGGACGAGCAGACTTTTAATTAGCCAGCGTCACGCGACGATTCGACTCAGGGATCTCTCTCCCCACCTCTTTCAACGTTGTCTTTCGACCTAACCTAACCCCTTAAGAGCGGGTTACGAAAGAGAGGGTACGCGTGTCGTCGTCGTCGTCGTCGTCGCCGTAGTCGCCGATAAGAGTCGTGGCACAGGCCTCTCTGACAAGAAAGAAAAGACAAATCTGCAGTCATCGTCGTGTCGAGAGCAAGAGGGGGGAGAGAGGAGGCTCGAAATAGGGGGCGGGGTTGGTTCCTCCCCCTACTCTACCTCTAGCGAGAGGGAGAGCGAGAGAGAGAGAATGTCTCTCCCTCCCCATTTTGTGTGGAGTCCACTCCACCCCGTTCCACGCCACTCCACACGGCTGTGTTCTTAGGTCAGGAAAACTCAAGTAGAGGCGAAACCCTTCGAAAAGTCGTCGATCGATCGATCTTTCTCACTCTCCTATCTATCTTCCTCGTCTCTGTCCCCTTATTCGAGGACGGCTGGATCCACGAGGAGTGTCTCTAACCTACAACCAGAGCCACAGAAGATAAGAGGCCACTCTGAGTGCGATGACTTGTCTCTAGACGGATGTGGCCTCTCGTTTTTTTTCCTCCCTCTCTTGCTCTGACGCGTTTCTTCCTTGATATCTTCTTATCCTTTCCGTGTATAGAGATATGTTTGCATTAAGTGGTTACCTAATACATCTTTCAAATTTCTTTTATAAATAAGGGATGTTCGAAGAAATTTGATTAGAAAAAAAGGAATCGACGAAGTGATATTGGATTTTTCTCTTTAATAATTATCGAGCTTGGTAGAGTTTTTTTTTTTTTTTGTTCAACGAGGACGAAACTTTGAGAGATAAATTGCAACGACTCACGGCTCTGTTCCTCGTTGATCCTGCCTTCGACTCGTCCCATGGACACCTCTCTCTTATCCTTCCCTCTCCACCATTGGAAAATGGCCAACGAGAGAGGAAAGCACCGTGGAACACATTGAACACACACACTAACAAGCGATAGAGAGTCCCGTAGGATCGATCAGAAGGGTCGTAGCGAGGCTACGGTTCGATCACGAACGGCGTCGCGTTACTCCAGGTCCCGGAGCGACGTGACTGGCCGGTCACGTCGGCTCCTCGACAACCACCGGCCACCGTGGAGCGGAACGGAAACGGGGAAAAGCGTGAACGACTCCTGAACGGAGAGAGGAGAGCCAGAGGTGAGCGTATATAGGGTCGACTGGTGGGAGAGGAGCGTGTACGAATCGATCGGCAAAACGCAAAGCGCGAATACGCGAGCTCAGGCCAAAAATTTCCTGTATAATACACCGTTTGTACTTGGGAATCGTTTAGCGCACCTCCCGTTCTACCACCGGAAATCAATAAACTCTGGATGGATCCTTTCTCAAATGATGGATCTCAAAAATGGTATCTTGTATAAACGGAAACTTCGACAGGAGGATGATTCTCTTTTTTTACTTGTACGATTTGTTGTTCCTCTTCAGTTCAGACGATACTGACCCGTGTGACACGTAGACAGTAGGACAGGCAACGTCTACTCTCTCTCTATCGCTCTCCCTGTCTCTCTCTCTTTCTCTCTCCCTCTATCGTGTTAGATTCCTTTTCTACTGCTCCTTTCGCTAGGCAACCGGCACACCACTCTTGCACCACTGGTTTATACAGAGGAGCGCCAGCGACACCGCTAACGACACACGAACGTCACGTAACGGTTACACGATCGCATAAACGCGAGTCCACAACGGATTGAATCAGGAGACGCCGAATTATTTTTTTCCCTCTCGTTGCGAAATAATCTGGTTAAAGGCTGGCCTCTGCGCCTCTTGCGAAGGAACGACGAAGGAGGAACGACTGCCCTACGAGACCACTGTATACGTTCCTCCTTCTCTATCTGTCTCCCTCTTCTCTATCTATCTTTCTCACGCTCATACCCGATCCGTACTCCATCTAGATCTACGCTTGGCCGTTCCTACGGCCTAGGTAGCGCGCATGCGCGAACGCGTTATCCTTTTCTCGCGCTCGACGCGTAGGGAACGGCCAGTTTCGTACGGTCTCGCTCAGTTGTATGCTCGGGCTGGCCCTCCGCGCCGCTGCCGCCGCCGCTCGACGTCGATGCTTCCGGACACACACGGGGGAAACGAGGAACGTTTCGCGCCGCTTCTAACCGTCAGGCCATCCTCGTCGAGGACGTCTGCGCACTTGCCGGCCAGGACGAGCCGAGGATGGAAGAGAGGCTTCCTTCGGGAAACACGGCGCACCTGTGCCTTCGCCCTTTAGCTCGCCGCGACCTACTCGCGATTTTTCTAGCTTACGACCTATGTGCTCACTGGTCGCTATTTTTTCCTTCATTTTCAGGGATATGAGAGGTCTTTTCCTTTCTTTTTTTTTTTAATCGAGTTGGGTTAGGTGGTTTCGAGTGGAATGATTTATGATGCAGGTTTTTCCTTGTGTCTTTATTAAGGATTGTAATGGTATTTGTGAGAGAAGGAAAGAGATCATTTTTGGTGATGTACAGATGAAGGATTTCACTTGGAAGGGAGGGGCGGGTTTCGATAACAGGTTAAATTTGATTGGTACCATTGAGATGGGGCAGTTGCTGTGTTTGCAATTTTTTGAATGCTACAGAGGGGTGGGTAATTTTTAGTTAAGGGAATTTATTATTGAATTTCTATGTTTCTTTCTTTTTTCCTGGAATTTTACTGGCACAATGTACGACCTACTTATCATTTCTAATTTTACATAAGACTGAAAGCCTCTTACGGGGGGATGATTGAAAATGAAAACATCAAGTTTCATTAACAAATGAACGGTCGACTTTTGTATTAAATTTATATTCTTCATTTTTGGACAATTTTGAAAAGTGACTCTCTTAATTAAACTCGATCGATCCAATTTGTAATCCGATCACCATTACCAAATTTTCGGTACTGTTGGAATTTTTTATATGGAAATTAGAATGATGGAATTTCTTTAATGAAGGATTGTCGAATTTATTACTAAATTTGTATTCCACATTTTTATAAAATCTCGAGAATAATTACCTGGAATTAATGACCTGATCACCATTGTCAATTTCTCACACAGAGAATAATTGGTATGAAAATTATGAAACTTAATCAACAAAAATTCCCCCAATTTTCTCCTCTGCAACTATTAAAAATGACCTGGTCGTTGTTACTGATTTTTACACTGTTCAAATTTTATATATCACAAACGACTGCTGTAAAAAATAACGAAAAATTAATCAACAAAAAATCCTCCATTTTTTCCGATCTTTTTATGTATGATACACAAAGGGATGTCGCTATTAAAATAAGCAGGGTAAACAGCGGGATTGATTGTTTGATACTGGTGACCTATTTGCGATTTTTAGGACCCTATCCCGGAGACCTTCCCTACCCCGTGAGTCGATAAATTTAGAACGGTTAGTAACGGCACCGTCGAATTTAAACCGGCCAAATAGTAGAACTGATTGCTTTCACTTTGAAGTTGAATAAGTTAGCCAGCCGATCCCGGTTTGTTTCGTTCAACTTGGCCACGTTCCATTTATCGCGACTTCACTGTTGCTTTTTAACAGCCGTTCGAGTAGTCAGCCTGATTAATTCGATCAATCATCCCGCGTCATCTGCTAGATGCAATTACTTACAGCCCCTTTAATCGGACGTTTTAACCGGCTCTCTTTCTCTCTCTTTCTCTCCTTCCCCCTCTCTCTATAACACGCTGTGTAATCGAGTCACGAGGAGGAGAGGACTATGATAGAATACTATGCTTGGACCAGTTCTGTCCACGAATAAGATACTCTTTCGGTGTACACTGTTTGAAACGCAAAAGTTAAAGAGGTGTATTATGGTACTAAAAAAAATGAAATACAACGAAATTGACAATTTTCGTAGAAGATTATAATGTTTCAATAGTTTAGCAGTTTGGAACAATAAAATGGTAACTTTCAATGCAAACACAATATTTCATATACTACGTTTAAGTCACCCCTTGTATATACATTTGGAAAAATTTCCAAGGTATCCGCCATTTTCTTTTATTTCTTATTTTTAACTTACACCCTGTACATTCCCCAAAGTTGCCATTTAAAACAAAAAATAAGAAAAAAACTTTGACACGTCACTTGCACGTTAATAACAAACTAAAATGTTGTTCCGAAAAACTAACTTGCTCAAATTACATCCTCAATCCAAACCAAAACTACTAAAACTACCGCTAAGTAAAAAATCACAACAACAATTTTATCGAAGAAAAAAGTAAAAATAGAATATATCACAAAAACACAAATGGACTTCACAGATAAGAGTATCGATGCATAAGTTGGTAAGTTCGATACACCCGGTATAGAGTGGCATCAGTCAGCGTTCCGCTGGTATACGAAGACAGAGGCGAGCGAGGAGGCGGCCTAATCTTCGTAGCTTAACTCGACCCGTACGATCAATTCGTGTCCGTGATCTTTTCGAAAGGTCTGTCGATAGAGACATTGTGTGCAATTTTAAGCTGATGGCTGGTGTTTCGTGGACGTAAGCAACGTCATGTGACCAGAGCCAGGATCTCCGGCGCGGATACACCGAAAAGCTCCTGACT